GTCATAATTAAGCTTCAGGTAGTTAAATAGTTAAATAAGTTTTACTGTTAAATTAATTAATGAAATTCATAGACTAACTATTTTTATACTATATATATAAAAAAAAAAATTTAAATTTATAATTACATAGCATATTAATGCCGGCAAAGAATTTTGGTTCTTGTTCAATAATCAACTATACGAATATCAATATTAAGTTTCGTACAATTACTGAACTTGTATATAATAAATGTTATACTAAAGAAATATTAGAAATATACCCTTATCTTAAAGTTGGAGAACAACTTTGTCATCTACATTATTGTAAACTCGTAGAACTAGATAGGGATCGCCAGGAGTATAAATCAAAAAAAACACATGACAATAATCAAGCAAAAAAAACAATGGAGCCTTTACCAAACAATAATGATAATGTAGTTAGTATATTTAAATTATAGACTATAATAAAATTTTTTTTATATACTTAAATTAATTTTCATTTTTTTAATTAAATAGATTATATTCGCTTTAGGAATAGAAATGCTAACAAAAGCATTGTATTATCATCAATGTTGAGAATGCACCAGTTTGGAACTAGATCTAACAAAATTTGAACAAATGATCGAAGCTATTAATTTCCAGCTTAAGGGTTTTTTTAGCTATATAACAAACTCAATTATTCCAAAAAAATGGTCAGCTTATAGCATAAATGAAGCAAAAAAATCTATAGTTGAATTATGTTATACAATCGCAGGCTTGTATAACAAATTTGTTAATCAGCATAAATTGAAAGTTAGGTTATTTTTGATAGCTTTAGATGCAACATAGGAGGTCATTGACACAATATCAAAACTAGAAATGAACATTTGACAAAAATCAAAAAATATTTTTTAGAAAATATAATTATGTAAATTTTTATATAATTAATAAATAAATTTATATTTAGTATTTTGTATTATATATTAAAAAATATTGTATATTTTTTAGAGTAATTTTTTTTATATCTATAATATCGACGACTATCATGCTATCCATGAAGTTCATAGACCCGACACAGTCTTAACATCAGCTACAAACCATTTTGCTACTTGTGTAACAAAACTTATCACAGAGTATTTATCTATACTAGTTATATATAATAATGTATCCATTTATAATCTGGCAAATGTAGATGTATCGAGAATCTGTTGGTACTTAATTAATCGATATACTAGAATTTTTGATATATCATATTTAGATTACCAACTACGAAAAGTTTTGCAAAGTTGTTTAGTTAATAATAATTTTGACCTAATCGAAATTTTAATAGTGTATAGTTATGCTAACAACATAGAAGAAAATAAAGAAGCATGATCAACAAAAGAGCTTCAACTTATAAGTTTTACTAAACAACATTTACATACTTTAGATGACTATATTAATGTATTAAATCTTATTTTATCAATAAACAACAAAACACAACATTTAAATGAACAAGTTGCACCAATTGTGGCCGATTGGCCCAGTCAAATTTTTATTAGAAAAGCACTTTATATGTGAACACAATTAAATCTTCCACAGCAAATAGAGTCATTTATACCTCTTTTGGGTCTGCTTCACGTATCACTAAACAGTAGAGAGCAAGTCATATTATGATATCATTTTTTTTTTAAAAAACTTTTTCATTTTGTATTCAGAGAAAATAAAGTATTTGCAAAGAAACCTCGTCTCTGGCGAATAAATCTTGTATTAGAACTTGCACAAAATGGTTGGAATATGATAAAGGATAAAATTATTAAGAAATTTGGCCAAACATGCAAAGATATTAAGTATCAAATGATGAT